ACTCCCACAGTGTCGATCGCGGTTTGAGTCCCTGACCTGGTGGTTTAAAACTCATGCCAGGTACCTGTGTGTGCGTGCCCAAAATCCCAAGAGGAGAGTGGAGGAGAAGGGATTGCAGTGTGGTCATCCCCTCTGGGGGGTGGTTTCTTGCTTTCTGTCTCTCTATCTCTCCAGCAAGCACACATGCCCTATAGCAAACATCTCTCTTTTAAAAAAAAAAAAAAAAAGATGAAAAATGTTATTGTTAGAGGACATTCATGCATATTCAAGAGAGAGAGCACCCCTCCCCCCCACGGGGTGCTGTCATGCTGTGAACGTCTTTTCTCCATTTTCCATCTGTCAGGATCTGGGGCAAGGATACACCTGTGTATCTTTCAAGCCATCAGGGCTGGAGACCTGGGCTAGCACCACGGTCAACCGTGTGGGATCTGGTTCCCGTGGACAGCATTGAAGCACTGCCCTGCGAGCCAGCCCGTGTTCTCATTCTATGGGCCACTCCTAGGGCTCCTCATGTGCTAACGGAAGATCGTTTTCCCTGCCATTGTCTTCGTTCCCTCATTGTCAAGGGACATTCCTGATTTTCCCTCTATCCCCAATCTCTAGATCAGCCCGCAGATATCCTAGGTGCTACATCACTGCACCCACAGGAGAGGTGGACTCGGTGCTGCCCGAGAACTCTCCTGCCGTTAGACTTCCCTTCCTGGGAAGGAATACCAGACGTACTCTGGCTTTCTACACCTAACTTCTCTCCTTAATATCTAGCCAGTGCATGAGACTGATCATGTTTTCCCTAGAGGACCTGAAGATTTGAAATAGCCCTCCACACCTTTAAAAGGTGGGTTGGAAATTGAGGTGCAGGCTAACCCTTGAGGGGATAAGGTTCCAGGACATATCAGGTACGTTGGGACAGTCGTATCTGGTTGTAAATGTTAGGCGTGTGGAAGGCTGGGGGTGAGGAGTGGCATGGAGGTTCCTTCAGATGGGGAATGAGATCATTCTGACTTTCAAGACACTGGGGCCAGGGGGCCTGCAGGTGGCATGGTGGTTAAGGGCACTGGATTCCCACATGGCTGACCGCAGTTCAAGTCCTGACCCTGGTGGCTTCCTTTCTCTCTCTCTCTGTCCTCTCTGTTCAAATTAAAAATAAATTAGTAAAGTTAAATGAAATAGTTCTTATAAACAAAACAAAACAGTGGGGCAGGATTTGGAAGTCGAACTATGGTTGACCGTATGGGATCTGACTCCCTTAAGCACCAGTCTGTGATACTGGCCCTGTCTTGCCTTTTCACTGATGCTTCTCATTCTCCTCTCCCTTCTATTACCCCTCTCAGATATTTAAAAATAAATAAATAAATAAAAGAAGCCTCATGAGGGGCCAGCAGGTGGTGTGTGGTTGAGGGCACTGGATTCCCACATGACTGACTGCAGTTTGAGTCCCGGACCTGGCGGCTTCCTTTCTTGCTTTCCCTTTCTCACTCTGTCTTCTGTCTGGTCAAAATTTTTAAAAATAATAATAATAACAAAAAAGTGATCATTGAATAAAAAAATAAATAAATAAATAAATGATCATTAAGTAAATAAATAATTATTTAAAAAATAAAAAAGGGCCTCATGATACAAAAGCAAAACTTGTCCACTAAATCCCTCTGCGTCAGTAGGGGATCCCAGAAGTGAGGACTGGGGGAGGTGAAAACAGAGCTGGGAAGGAGAGCCCAGCAGGTGGCAGCACATCTCCAAAGGTCCTTCCCTTGGTGACCGCCTCACACAGGAGGGAGCTGAGTCGGGGATCTGCCCAGCAGGCCGGCTGTGGCCAGTGCTGGCTCCTTGCCTCTGAGGGTCCTTATTTAGCGCACTTGGGTGTAGAAGTATTTGTTGGTCCACCAGGAAGCCTGGAAAGCCATTCTGCTTAGCTGTTCGTCCCGGGAGGTTTGAGCAGCAGGTATTACGTACATAGCCAAAGCGAGAAGGCAGAGGCCCCGGGAAGCAAGGGGCAGATTCTGAGATCTGGACTCTCCTCACTTACAGCTATGTAGGAAATGCAGGAAAGAAAAGCTATGGGATAGCTATGGGAGCCCGCAGATGGCGTGGTGGTTAAGGGTTTGAGTCCCAGATGTGGCAGCTTGCTTTCTCATTTTCCCTCTCCCTCTCTCTGTGTCTCTCACACTCTATCCCTCTCTGGTCAAATATAAATAAATAAAGTTAAATAAAATAATTCTTAAGGGGAAAAAAAGGTGTTAAGAAACATTTGCTTATTTTTACTAATATAAGAAGTATAAGCACCATGCCATGGTGGTGTATGCTGCTAAGATGCCATACTCGCAGGCTGGGCCCACAGGGAGGCCAGGGTTCGATTCCTGTTTCATTCTGAAGGCCGGATGTGGTGGCATGCACCTGTAGTCCCAGTTATGGGGAGGCTGAGGCAGGAAGATTGTGAGCTGGGCTTGGGCGATACAGAGATCCTGTCCACAAAAGAGTTGGGATGGTGGTGTGTGTCTGTAGTCCCAGCTCGGAGCCGAGGCAGGCATGGGGAGGCATATCTTTAAAAAATAAGAAGTTAGCGTAATGGCTATGTCGCTGGACTCCCACGTAGTCAACCATGATTCTCGCGGACCCGGTGGCTTAAATCTCACACCAGGCGCGTGTGCGTGCGTGCCCAAGATCCCGAGAGGAGAATGGAGGAGAAGGGATGGTGGTGTGACCATCCCCCCTGGGGGGTGATTTCTCACTTTCTGTCTCTCTGTCTCTCTCTGTCTGTCTGGCGAGAGCACGCACCCTATAGCAAAAACCTCTCAAAAAAAAAAAAAAAGTATTGGAGCCAGTAGGTGGCACATGGTTGACCCCAATTTGAGTTCCAGACCTAGTGACTTGAAAATCATATTGGGTACATGTGTGCACATGCCCAGAATCCTGAGAGGAGAATGGAAGAGAAGGGGCTGCAACATGGCCGTTCCCCCCGGGGGTGATTTCTGACTTTCCCTCTCTTTCTTTCTGGCGAGCACAGGTGCCCTACAGTAAACAAAAAACAGTGGGGAGCTGCAGGTGGCTTGGACTTGCACATGGCCAGCCGTGGTCTGAAATTCTTTAAAAAAGAAATATTAGAGGGTTTTTTAACTTTTTAGTATAGAGACACAAACATGAAAACTAAAATGGACCATACCCTCCCCACTAAGATAAACCTTATTGACCAAAAAAATGATAAGACCTGTTTGAGGTTCAAACATTTTAGCTACAGAAAGGCATGAAAAGAGAAGTAAATTCTTTCCCCTCCACCTTCATCCTCTCCAACTGCCACCATTAAGTTTCTTATAATTGCTTTAGTGAAAATAGTACAACTAGGCGCATGACCAAGTCTCTGTAACTATTCATATTTATATATTTATTTATTTGATTGTTTTATTTTAAGAATTATTTAATTTTGGAACCAGCAGTTGATGTAATGGCTATGTCACTGGACTCCCATGTAGTTGACTGCGGTTCGTGTCTGGGGCTTGGTGGCTTAAACTCATGCCGGGTGCGTGTGCATGCGTGCCCAAGATCCCGAGAGGAGAATGGAGGAGAAGGGATTGCGGCGTGGCCATCCCCTCGGGGGGTGATTTCTCGCTTTCTGTCTCTCTGTCTCTCTCTGTCTTCCTGGCGAGTACATGTGCCCTATAGCAGAAATCTCTCAAAAAATAATTATAATTATTTAACTTTGTTTATTTATTTTTTTATTTGACCAGAGAGAGACAGAATGAGAGAGAGAGAAAGAGAGAGAAAGTGAGAAAGCGAGCTTCCAGGTCTGGGACTTGAACTGTGGTTGGCCATGTGGGAGTCCAGTGCCCTTAATCACCACACCACCTGCCGGGCCTGATTATTTATTTAAAATCAAAAAGTGATCATTGTGTACTCTTCCCAGCCTTGTTTTTTTCACTTACTTTAGCCTAAAGATCTTTCTGTCAGTCCGCAGAAACCTCTGTCTGTCCATGGTAGTTTTTTTTTTTTTGTAAAGAGATTTTTGCTATTGGTTGCTTGTGCTTGCCAGAAAGACAGAAACAGAAAGCAAGAAATCAGCTACCCAAGGGGAATGGTCACGCCAGTCCCTTCTTTGTTCTCCAGGAATTTGGGACATGCACATACACGGACCCGGTGTGAGCTTTGAGCCACTGGTTCTAGGACTCGAATTGCGTTAGAACATGTGGGAGTTCAGCGCCTTAACCACTATGCCACCGGGCCCCTGTCCATGGTAGTTTTAAATATTTACTTACTTATTTATTTTTTTGGAGAGGTTTTTACTATAGGGTGTGTGCTTTTGCCAGAAAGACAGAGAGAGAGACAGAAAGCGAGAAATCAGCCCCCCCCCGAGGGGGATGGCCACGCCACAATCCCTTCTCCTCCATTCTCCTCTCGGGATCTTGGGCACACACGCACACACGCCCGGCGTAAGATTTAAGCCACCGGGTCCGGGACGCGAACCGTGGTCGACTATGTGGGAGTCCAGCGACATAGCCATTACGCAAACTGCTGGTCCCCATAATAGTTTTTTAAATGAGGCTCCTCGTTGCTGCATATTCGGGCTGGTTCCAGGGAGGGGGGTGTAGTAAAAACACCAGAGCAGGGAGCATCCTTGTGTATTTATCTTGGTGTGCTTTACAAGTCCAAATTCCTAGAACTAGGTCAGAGCGAAAGTACATTTTGAAATTTGATGGCTAAGTTTTCTTCCAGTAGGCATGCCCCAGTTGGTGTGCCCAAGTGTGTAGATACACCCGCTACAGGTGGCTGTGGAGAAACCAGGACCCCATGCTCCTTCCCCTTCCAGGAGCCCCTTGACATCTGTGGGGGCAGGCAGCAGGCCGGCCCCCCCGTGACCTTTGGCTCCCCTGTTGCAAATCTCCAGGTGGCCGTGAAGTGAGAGCCAGCGGCCTCTCCTTTACGTAGGCACGGGATTTCCCGCATCGCTTTGCAAGGTTTTCTGTTTGTCCCTGGGGTGAGAGAGTGAATGACCATATCTCTGACTCTTCCAGGTGAAGAAGGCATATCGGCAGAAGGCCCTTTCCTGCCACCCAGACAAAAATCCGGGTAATCCCAGAGCAGGTGAGACCCTCCTAAGGGCATGGGAGAAAGTGACCCGCTTTGTGCATTGTGCTCTTGCGATCGAAGCTCTGCCTATGGGAGCTGTGGAGTGTAGACGCCCTCGGCCTGGCCCTGGGTCGGGGAGGCTCAGGGTTTTTCTTCATGTGTTAGGAACACGCAGTTACTGGTGCCCTCACCCTTCCTTGCTGGTCTGTCTCCTGCTGACGTCAGTTTTCTGTCATCCTGTGGTGTCTTTGAGGGAGTGTGCCATCACACGTCTGACCCGATTTCTCTCCTCCGTTTTTGACCTCGCGTGTAGCCGAACTCTTCCACCAGCTTTCTCAGGCCTTGGAGGTGCTGACCGATGCTGCAGCCAGGGTAAGCGCATCCTCCTGTCTGAGTCGTCCCTCATGGTTAGAGACCGTCACTGCCCTTCTGCCTCAGCCTTCTGCCCCCTGCCACATGGCATAGTCCTTGCTGTCTAGACCCGGAGACCTGGTCACCAGGCTGCTGCCCCGATGGCTCTGGGACTAGGAGCAGGGGCCAGGAGGATTGCTGGGGCTCTGTGCTTCTCGGGCCACTCCTGCTCTGTGCTCTTTCTCCCGCCAGGCCGCATATGACAAGGTCAGGAAAGCTAAGAAGCAGGCGGCAGAGAGGACCCAGAAACTGGACGAAAAGAGGAAGAAAGTGAAGCTGGGTAGGTGAAGCTTTGTGCCCGGTAGGCCTGTGTGTCCCCTGGCCATTTCCGCCATCTCCTTTACCTTTCTTCATGAAGCTTCCGCTGCAACTCAGCGCCTCCCGGCCCAGGTCTGGGCAGCGCTGTTCTCAGAGACTGCATGCCAAAGGCACGCTGAGGAATAATAACATTGCTAGATTTACTCTGAGCTGAGCATTGTGACAAATGTTTTATTAGCTCCTTTAATTATTGCAACTATCCGAGGAGGTGGGTATTATTAAACCCATTTTTTATAGGCTAAGAAGCTAAGGCACTAGAAGCTTAAGAACTGGCTGGCGCTGGGGTTTAAACTCTTGCAGTGTAGTAAACTTGGTGCTCTTATTCACCCTGCCTGGTGGGGCTCGTGTTATTCATTTCAGCTGGAGAAGCTTCCTTAGAAGGTCTGAAAGGGCCAGGCACCCTTTTCTTTTCTAAGGGCTTTATTGAGGTAGTCCATCCTTTCGTATCGTAACAGTCACCCATACAGCTCAACGATTTTCAGTACATTTACCAAGTGATGCAGCTCTGATTGTAAATCTGTCTTAGAACATCTCCATCACGCCATTAAGATTGGTCCAGGCGTTTTTTTTTTTTTTCCATAGTGTGTGTGCTTGCCAGAGAGAGAAAGACAGACAGAAAGTGAGAAATCACCCCCCACGGGGATGGCCACACCACAGTCCCTTCTCCTCCATCCTCCTTTTGGGACTTTTAGGCATGTACGCATGCACACGCACCTGGTGTGATTTTCAAGCTGTCAGGTCTGGGACTTGAACTGTGGGCTTGGCCATGTGGGATCCAGTGTCTTCACCTCTATGTCACCTCTGGCCCAGTTTAAGCATTCTTTTTTTCTTTTTTTTTTTTTTTAGAGATTTTTCTATAGGGTGTGAGTTCTCACTGGAGAGACAGAAAATGAGAAATCACCCCCAGGGGAATGGCCATGCCACAATCCCTTCTCCTCCATTCTCCTCTTGGGATTTTGGGCACGCACGTACGTGTGCCTGGCATGAGTTGTAAGCTGCCTGGTCTGGGACTCAAATCACTGTTGACTGTGGGAGTCCAGCAACATAACCATTATGCCATTTGCTGGTCCCTCAAGAATTCTTTACTTAGTTTTTTCTCTTTTTCTTTTTGCTTATTCAATATCCTTCTTCAAAAAAATTTTTTTGATGGAGCTGGCAGGTGGTGTGGTGATTAAGAGTGCTGGACTCCCACATGGCTGACGGCAGTTTGAGTCCCAGGCCCTGTGACTTGCTTTCTCACTTTCTCTCTCTCACTCTGTTCCTCTTTGATCAAATTAAAATAAATTAATTAAATAAATAAAGTTCAATAAAATAATTCTTTTTTTGGTTTGTTTTGGAGAGGTTTTCGCTATAGGGCACATGCGCTCGCTAGAAAGACAGAGAGAGACAAGGAGAACAGAAAGTGAGAACTCACCCCCAGGGGGATGGCCACGCTGCCATCCCTTCTCCTCCAGTCTCCTCTTGGGATCTTGGACACGCACACACATGCACCCGGTGTGAGTTTAAGCCACCGGGTGCGGGACTCAAACCGCAGTCAATTACATGAGAGTCCAGCAACATAGCCATTACGCCAACTGCTGGTCCTATCAATAAAATAATTCTTAAAAAGAAAAGACTTTTTTAAAGATTTGTTTTAATTTTATTTATTCATTTATTTTATTTTGACCAGAGAGAGAGAGAGAGAGAGAAAGTGAGAAAGCAAGCCTCCAGGTCCGGGACTCCAACCGTGGTTGACCATGTGGGAGTCCAGCACCCTTAACCACCATACTACCTGCTGGCCCCTAAAAAGAAGTTTAAAAAATATTTTGACAAAAGGCACATGTACTCGCCAAGCGAGATGGGGAGAGGGAGGAAGTGTCTCCAAACGAGGCACGGTCACACCACCGTCCCTTCTCCTTCTTCATCCCAGTGGGGCTTGGGCATGCACACATGCTCCGCTTGTTTTTCAAGCCACTGCATCCAGGATTTGAACTGTGAATTGGCCACATGGGATCCTTCTCTCTTAACCTCTAGGCCATAGAGCTGGCCAGTATCCATATATTTTAAAACATGCATATACCAACCTGATATATTCATTACTCTAACATAATGGGAGAGAAAGGGAGGTTCTAGGCAAGTAAAAGGCACAGAAAGGAAAGCAATGGGTCCTGGGCCCAAGAGAAGGGCTTGTCCCAGCAGCTGGAAGACAAGAAGGGCTTCAGGACTCGGAACGATGCCCTCACACTGCCCGTCCCTGCGGGAGCTCCCAGGGTGGCTAAATGTGAGCTGAGGCGGAGTTGAGGGAGATGGTGAGAACTGAGCTCAGTGGCAGAAAAAGAATAAAAGCCAAGGCGAGGCCCTGGGTCAGGCTGCGGTGCCAAACCACTGGGACAGAGGCCAGCAGCTCCACCCGGCACCCCGGACACACGGGCCAGGGCTGCTGATGAGAGCACTCCCCACACCCTGCACGCTGCTCAGAGAACCAGCGTAGACCGCGTGAGCTGGACCTGTTAGCTGTTAACTCTTCCAGACCCCTGGCTACTCGGCTGTGATTTCCTCAATGGCAGTTAACTTGACATGGGGGAAGGGCTACTGCGTCGTCTCATCCTGAGACTTTGGGGAAGTAGCCAGAGCTGGGTGGGCCGCGTAGGAACCACACAGACCAGCAGTTGGTTCGCTGAACCCTGTGCCTAGATCTGGAGGCCCGGGAGCGGCAGGCCCAGGCCCAGGAGAGTGAGGAGGAAGAGGAGAGCCGGAGTACCAGGACGCTGGAGCAAGAGGTGAGGGTCCAGGCAGGCGGCCTGAGACCCCTGTGGGAGGAGGGTCTGGGCGGTGGTTGTGGCCGGGGAGGGCATGCTCTTTCCGCTTTCTCCTGTGGGATCTGGGTAATTTGTCCCACCCACAGGTGGCTGAGCCCTAGCTTGCAGGAACCTCCCAGGGACCTTTACAGGGTGAGCCAGCCTGGAATTGGATCTGCACAGAATGGTCACCCTCCACCCCCCGCTCTGCAGATCGAACGCCTACGAGAAGAGGGTTCCCGGCAGCTGGAGGAACAGCAGAGGCTGATCCAGGAGCAGATACGCCAGGAACGGGAGCAGAGGTTGAGAGGTGGGAGGTGATCACACCCACCTGCCTCCCCTCCAGGGCAGCTCCAGCTTGCCGGGAGTGGCCACACTGGCTGCTCAATGGAGTTGCCCTGGAGTCTTCCACTTGCTGGAAAGCTGGGGACACCCCACGGCACTCTCCTCTGATGTATGCCACCTGACCCTTCTTCCGACCAGTTCTCTGGGGCCTGTTTGCTTTTGACTCTGCCCGAGAGCATTTGTCTTAGTCCCAAGCAGAGGTGCTGTCTTGGAGCAGATCACCAGGGGTGAAGGCTTTGGGGTGCTTTGTTTCAGAACTCTGCCTCCTGCCCCTAGGAGGTTCTTAGCTCCCCATTTGGAGAACACCACCAGGCGGCCTCCAGGAGGTAGCTGGGCAGGCCGCCCTGGGGTCGGGGGATTGCGTACCCTTTGCCCAGCAGGCTCCTCACCAGGGCAGGGCAGATCTTTCATAGGTCCCCGCCTCCACATCTCCTGGGGAGGAACCTCTGACCCTCACATTCTACCTTTCCGTTTTTTCCAAAATTTCTAGGAAAGGCAGAAAATACTGAAAGCAAAGGAACCCCCAAATTAAAGGTGAGCCTGGGCAGGGGGGTCACCTCACACCACCCCGTGTCAGCAAGAATAGGTGCTTCCTGCGGTTCTAGTGGGGACACTGGCTCTCAGAGGGAAGCTCCATGCCCTTCCCATCCTCCAGCCGCCTGCAGACCAGGCTAGCGTCTCAGAGCTCGCCCTAAAAGGCCGCTCTCAGCACTGGCGAGCAGGCAGGGTGCTCCCCAGAAGCTGTCTGCGGTGTCTGACAGGGCTGGGCGTGCGCCTGAGGGTGTGCGGGCCACACTGCCTGTCCGTTTCCAGGGGAAGGCTTGTTCACGGTGGTGTTCCCTAGGGTACAGGTGTCCTGGGGCCACACGTGAGGTCGGTGCTGTTCAGCCACAGGCCAGTGTTCAATGATGTCATTTCAGCTGAAGTGGAAGTGCAAGAAGGAGGACGAGTCAAAAGGCGGCTACTCCAAAGACCTCCTGCTGCGGCTTTTACAAAAGGTCTGCCCCGCTGACTTTCTCCCTCCTGTCGGGGCAGTCTGCCTCCCACCAACCTCAGGGCTCTCTGCGCCTGGGCCATACTCAGCAGCACATCTCCACTTGCTTCTCGCTTACTTCTCCTTTTTCATTTTTTTTAAGAATTATTTTTAAATTTATTATTGTTTAATTATTTTAATCTTTAATTTTACAGAGTGAGACAGAGAGACAGGGGGCATGGCCACACTGCAACCCCTTCTCCTCCACTCTCCTCTTTGCCTCCACTCTCCTCTTTGGATTTTGGGCACATATGCACATGCACCCAGTGTGAGTTTAAGCACTGGGTCCCGGACTAGAACTGTGGTCTACTACATGGGAGTCCAGCGACAGCCATTACACCATCTGCTGGTCCCCAATTTTTTTTTCTACAGACACACACACTCACCAGAGAGAGAGAGAGAGAGAAAGCTGCCAGGTCCAGTACTCAAACCACAATCAGCCATGTAGGAGTCCAGAGCCTTAATCACCACACCACCTGATGGCCTCTTGTTTTGTTTTGTTTTTCTAAGAATTATTTATTTTATTTATTATTTTTTAAAAATTTGACCAGAGAGAGAGAGAAAGTAAGAAAGCAAGCCACCAGGTTCAGGACTGGAACTGTGGTCGGCCATGTGGGAGTCCAGTGCCTCAACTACCACTTGCCAGCCCCCCTTTTTCTGTTTTTTGCTGTCTCATAGACAATAGGCCAGCCTAGGGAGTGCTTCCTAGGCCACTGTCCTCTTGTCACTTGTGCTGCTGTGTGCCCCCTCCAGCCTGATCTCTCTGCTGCCTCGGTCTGGCTTACCATCCTTAGAAGCCAAGGGCTTGGCGTGTGTTGGGAGTGAGGTGGGAGTCAGGCATGGAAGGCCCGTCCCCTTCGCTGCCTTCCACTGCTAAGGCAGCTCTGTGACCGGGCCAGACTCAGTGCCCAGCCTTTGCTCAAGTCCCCACTGCTGTCCTGCATTCTGAGGGGGAGCCCACTTTTTCCCTTCTCTGATGCTTCGCTGAGCCCTTTACGATAGGAAGTTATTCTCCAGCTGAGGACACCAGGTGGGCCTCAGTACAGCCTGGCTGGTCTCATGTGACTCACGCTTACGGAGACCCTTGTCCCCACAGTATGGTGAGGTCCTCAACCTGGTGCTTTCCAGTAAGAAGGCAGGCACCGCCGTGGTGGAGTTTGCGACCGTCAAGGCTGCGGTGAGTGTTGGGGGAGGCTCGGGGGCCAGTGTTGTGGTCCCCTGGGTTAGGCGAGCCACATTCCCAGGGGATCTCTGGGCCAGCTCAGCCAAGGCTCCCCGAAGCCCCGACTCGAAATAGAATCACTGTGCATGCAGGGGTGGGCAGGACCATGCTCTGGGGTAGACGTTTAGCTGTCTGTAGGCTGGCTTCACCTTCCACCCTGCACCCTGCAAGGTCGTGAGCCCCAGCACTGGCTTCCCACCCTTTGTGCTCCTCCTCATCCCCGAATCACAGGCTTAGCCCCACCACTCTTCCTTGAGAGGGCTCACAGCTTTAGTACCCCACATTTGAAGGCTCTGCTTAGAGGACTAGAGTGCGGGTTCCATTCTTCCCATGGGAGTAGACAGCGGAGTCCGCGGGTGGGCCAGGACTGGATGCTGTGTTGGGCAGGAGCTGGCTGTCCGGAATGAAGTTGGCCTGATTGATAACCCTTTGAAGATTTCCTGGTTGGAAGGACAGCCCCAGAGCACCGTGGGCCCTAACCACCCCACACTGTCAAAGGTAAGTCGCTGGGCCTCACCCAGCTGGGACTCACCCAGCCTGCCTGGGACTCGGGCCACCTCTTCCTGTTTGGCCCTTTCCTCTCAAGCTCGTTGGAGTGTCGTGATCTGCAGGTGCCGTGACCTTAGCATGAGGGGCTGGGATTCTGCACTGACCCCTTTTCCTCTCTGAGGACCACGTTCGTAGACCTTGCGTGCATTCCTCCACTCCAGGCTCTTGCCAGGGCTGTCCTCTGCACCAAGGCTGTTACGACCCTCCACGTGCTCGGTCATGGTGTGCAGTGCTTGGACCTTAGGCTGCCCGGTGCTGCGGGCAAGGGGCAGGCGACCACAGCAGCTGCTGCTTTCCCAGGTGTCTCTGGCTGCCCAGCATGAGTACCAATTACCAAGAAGCATCATCCTCTATTTTATTTATTTATTTATTTTAAGTTTTTTTTTTTTTTTTTTTTTTTTTTTTTCCCCCGTCATCAGATGTGTGTACTTGCCAGAGAGAGACAGAATGAGAAATCATCCCCCAAGGGGAATGGCCATGGCACAGTCCCTTCTCCATTCTCCTCTTGGGATTTTGGGCAGGGAGACACACCCACCTGGGATGATTTTCAAGCTGCTGGGTCCAGGACTTGAACCATGGCTGGCTCTGTGGGAGTCCGGCACTTTTAATAACCCTGCCACCTGCTGGCTCCATTGCCCCCTCTTTAGAAATAACACTAGCTACCCTGCTGTTGCCGGGGTGCCGCCTGCCCAGAGTCTGGGCACTCTGCCTGTGAAGTCTAGACCTTCCAGCTAGCCCAGTACTAACTCTTAGTCCCCACAGCACCACGAAGGCTTGTGTTTGCCTGGCTGCAGGGCTCACCCACACCTGCCACCACCTAGGGGGACAGATTGCTGGGGGGACAAGAGGCAGGATCCTGGCTCTTCCCTTCACTGACACGGCCAGAGTTCTGGCTGGTGTGTGTGCAGCCCACAAGGACTAGCAGGGGCTCTACTCACCCTGCCTCGGCCCCGCCACCTCATTCCCCTCCTGGCTGCAAGACAGGAGGCTTCCTGTCCAGACCTGGGACAAAAGAATATGCCCTGGTGTGAGCCCTTTGGGATTCTGCTTTAGAGGCCGTATTTGTCCATCTTTAGGTCCCAGTATTTCACAGTCCCAGACACCAGTCCACGGGTTGTAGCAGAAGGAATTTTATTCACTATCTCCTGTGTCCACAGAGGAGCCTTTCAGCTTGGCACCTCCACACAAGAGGAGGAAAGAGGGAGGCGAGGGATGGGGTCATGGACACAGCGCGTGTCGGGCTTCCTCTGCTCCCTCCCCCAGCTGAGAGAGGCGCTGCTGGCTACACGTCTTCTGGCGAGGCCACAGGCCGGGCCGGAGCACAGCCTCAGGCCCTGACTCGGTGAGCTTGGCCTAGTTGGCTGTGCGTGGTCAGAGGGTTCCGGCAAGGCCAAGCTGCAGTGCTGGTGGAGGGTCCTGGAGACCCGTGTGCCTCCTCCCTGCTCAGCCTCCGTCACCAGGCCCAGTCCTCCTCTCTAGGAAGGAAGTCTATTTCGCTCTTTCCCAAGGGCTCTTCACCCGTGATCTGAGAGTTCCCAGAACACCCCTCTGCAAGCGCGGCTGGGCCTCGGCCGGCATTCCCTAGAGCTGGCTTCCTCCGCCCAGGGCTGCTCTGGCGGCTATGTTGGCAGGTTGGGCCTTTCGGGCTGCCTTTTCTGCCGACGGTTTGGCCGAGTTCTCTGTCTGCCTGCCTGCCTCTCCCTGCCCTGCCTGCCTGCCTCTCCCTGCCCTGCCAGCCCCTCTTTTGCAGCCCCTGAACGTCCCCACCCTCCCTCCGCTGATGGTTCCAGGCCACAGCCTAGCCAGCGCTGTCCAAGAGAACTTTGTCCAGGGCTCTAATGTCCACGCCGCACTGTCCAATGTGGTGGCCTCAGCAGGCCTGGCCGTTGGACATTTGAAATGTGGCTAATGGGACCCAGACCTCAGTTTTCATTTGTGCTCATTTCAGTTCAGTGAACAGCCACATGGAGAGCGTGGCTGCCTGCTTGCCGGTCTCCCCTCCCTGCTCAGGTCTGCCTCTCCAGCCGGGGTTGGACCGTGTTTGTTTAGACTTGTCCTGTGACCTCTCTGTTGCTGGTGGCCTCAGAGGAGGTGTTGCAAGGCACCTCCACACAGGAGAGGAAAGAGGGAGGCCGGAGTTGGGTTGTAGACACCCATGGCTGTCCTGCCCAGTCTGTGCCACCGTCTCACCCTGCTGGCCCCCGCCTGGCTCCTGTAGCTGACCGACATGGCCTCTTTTCCCTGCCAGCCTGCTTCCGTCATGGCTCCTGCCAGGAAGTGCCCCCACACCCCGCCATTTCCAAATAGCCTCTTTTCCTCCACTCAGGGGTACCCGGAGGACTATTCAGGACCCAGAGGGCCGGCAGGGCTCTGGGTTATCCAAACTTTCCCTTGTCCCAGGACCAGACGCACCTTTCCTGGGATGCGGGCTCCAGCTCTCCTGTCCTCCCAAGCACTGCCTCCCCTCGCCCCATTCAGAAGCGGGGCTCGCTGGGGAATTGCTCCCTCAGTATCTGTAGAACTTCCTCGAGAAGTGAAATCCCCAGGTCCACTTTGAAGGAGCGGAAGGGATCGCTGAGGTCTGGGGCAGGTGTCTTCTGGAACGGGGGCGTGTCCGGAAGGTCCTCCTCTGAGCAGCGGTGGAGAGTACCTGCCAGGGAGAGCGCTGTGGGCAGGGTGGCCGAGTAGGCGGCAGCGTAGGCGGGCGGAGGCTCCAGGATGTTGGGGCAGCTGGAGCTCTCCCGGTAGAGTCGCGGGGGCTTGGGTGGGGCCAGCAGGGTGGCCCGGGGCTGCTCCTGGCCCCACAGTGGCAGGCGCCGGCCATCCGGCCTCCCTCGCAGCTCCCGGATGACCTCGCGGTTGCTGTACTCCTCGTGGTCCCCACCGGCTGTGCTGGCCTGGCTAAGCACGCTGCCCTGTCTCCGGAGCCGCCTCGGCCGCCCCAGGCTCAGCCGCTTGAAGAAGGAGGCATTCCGGAAGGAGCCTTTCCGCCAGGTCTCCATCGGTCCCGGGGAGCACGCAGGCGAGGTTCAAGGGCAGCTGGTGGGCATTGGCCCGGCCGGGTCAGGGCAGCCAGTGCGAGGGCCGCGAGGGAGGAGGCGCCCCGGGGGGCC